ACTCCTATGACATATGGCCTGGATCGTGACTTGAATTGTCATTCAATCTGATGTCCTATATTATATTAACTGATCCTGTTAATTTGCTCTGTTTCCATGATATTTCCTAGGCTTGGGTGATCCAAAAGAAAAAGGTTCAAAACTCGTTTAGGATGTAAAGGGCGCTGGAGATTCGATTTTGAAATTATTTCCAAAATTTTCTTGAAAAAAAAGATCGGAAATATCAGGAAATCTGAATCGCTTCGTTTGCTTCGTTAATGGAAGGTGCCCCTCCCTCCCTCCAGAACCATTAAAATCTCGCAGTTTCCCTTCCTTCCCTTGCGGTGAGCTTCCATGCAGAAGGGAGAGGTCATGGCTAAGAACAGCTCTTCCAGAAAGCCATGCCCCCAGTGGCCTTCAGGAAGAGCTGTTCTTAGCCACGCCCACCTCGTCCCTCTTTGCATCGCTGGGCGTGCAAAGCCACATCCGAAAATAATTCCGAACAATGGGGAAGTTGTTTCAGTTTGGAATTGCTCCTCCCACTATTCCTGCATGGCTCGAAATTGGATCAAAAGGTAATTTAATCCGAATTAATTACGATTTTAGAAACTAACGAACGAACTTACCCAAGCCTAATATTTCCTATGCCGTTATACATTGTTATCCACCTTACTAAACCACTTTATCCTTTAACTAGTTCACGTAGTGGTTTTCCTCCCCCCGCCCCTCAAAAAAAATTAGTCTGCTGTTATTGTTGTTGCTAGCTTTTTTTTTTGTTATATTGTTTTATGCTATTTTATGTTGTTTTAATTGTTATTGCTTTATTTTAATTGTATACTGCCTGGGCTTGGGCCCCATGTAAGCAGGCCCGAGTCCCTTTGTGGAGATGGAACTAGGGTAGATAAATAAACTTCTTCCTCTTCTTCCTTCTCCTCCTCCTCCTCCTCCTCCTCTTCTTCTTCTTCTTCTTCTTCCAACCTAAAACGTGTGAAAGTACTTGGTCTAATGTGCCAGATTCCTCAGGAAAGGTGTGCAGGTGATATGACTCATTACTGAATATGTTTCACTCGCCCCTCTTGATCACAGTTAGAACTCAACAGTCTACCTGTGTTAAACAGAAGGTGTCGCCAGGTGGTGCTATTTCACAGTCCAAAGGAAGGAACATCAAGAAGTATCAGTGGGTGTATCAACATGGGGAAAGTTAATCTGGAGCATTACTGCCCCTTAGATGCTCTGGATCCAGCACGTATTTGTCCAGAAGGCTCAACCCATCCCCTGTTGGCCCATCTCCTTGTCCATATATCACCACCAGCACTCCCTGGCAGCTACAAAGCTTCCTACCATCATGGACAACATGGCCTTCTGAGGTCTTAATGGGGCAAAGAGAAGGTAGAGCAATCTCCTTCCTTTTGATGATCATGAGGGTGTCCCATTCTGGTCTTAGAAGTTATGACAACTATGTATAAATATGTGAGGGAAAGTCATAGGGAGGAGGGAGTATGCTTGTGTTCTGCTGCCCTGGAGACTAGGACACAATAGAACAGTGGCTTCCAACTACAGGAGAGGCCTTGTGAGCTATCCAGTCCAACCTCATTCTTCCAAGAAACAGGGAAACTGTATTCAAAGCACCCCCGACAGATGGCCGTCCAGCATTTGTTTCGAAGCTTCCAAAGAAGGAGCCTCCACCACACTCTGGGTAGAGAGTTCCACTGCTCACCGTCAGGAAGTTCTTCCAAATTTTCAGGTGGAAGCTCTTTTTGCTGTACTTTGAAGCCATTGTTCCATTGTGTCCTAGTCTCCAGTTCAGCAGAAAACAAGCTTGGTCCCTCCTCCCTATGACTTCCCCTCACTTCTTTATACATGACCCTCATCATGTCTTCTCTCAGTCTTGTCTTGTGCAGGCTAAACATGCCCAGCTCTTTCAGTTGCTCCTCACAGGGCTTCTTCTCTAGACCCTCCTGTGGACACATTCCAGCTTGTCAATATCTCTCTTCAATTGTGGTGCCCAAAACTGGACACAATATTCCAGGTGTGGTCTAACCAAGGCAGAATAGAGGAGGAGCATGACTTCCCTAGATCTAGACACTAGGCTTCTATTGATGCAGGCCAAAATCCCATTGACTTTTTTGGCAGCCGCATCACATGTTCAACTTGTTGTCCACAAGGACCCCAACATCTTTTTCACACATACTGCTCTCGAGCCAGGCATTGTCCCCCATTCTGTATCTTTGCATTTCCTTTTTTCTGCCTAAGTGGAGTGTCTTGCTTTTGTCCCTGTTGAACTTCATTGTGAATAACCTGAGGATCAATCCTGGCAAAACAGAGGTCCTCCTAATCGATCGTAAGCCGGATCGGAGGATAGGGTGGCAACCTGTGCTTGATGGGGTTGCACTCCCCCTGAAGACTCAGGTCCACAGCTTGGGTGTAGGCCTGTGCGGTTTCGTTCGTTAATTCGTTAATTCGTTATTAATTCGTTATTTTTGGCATTTCCGAAGCGATATCAAAACATATTTCCAAACCCGGAAGGGTTTTTAAATATCGAACCAGCAACCCCCATAGATTTAACGAGCCTCCGCTCGTTTCGTTAATGGGGTGGAGGCTGCTGGAGTGCTGGTGCCTGGGAGCCAATCCGGCGCTCCCAAGCAGTGCACCATGGGTCCGTGGCTGTCTGTTTTTGATTGGCCGGCGAGCCCTTTCAAAGCGGCTCCGCGCGGCCCGTAGCTTGCTGCAGAGGGCGAGGGAGTTTGCATTGGGTTGGCTTGGCTGCTAGCAACTGGGATTGGATTCATTCCTTGCTGCTGTGAGTGCTGCTTGCTTCATTTGCTGTCTCTTGCCTGTGTTTGGTCCACATTTGGGCCATTTTTTGGTTAATTTTCCATTTTAAAATATTTTTAATATTATTTTTAATAATATTTAAATATTTTTTAATATTATTTTTTAATATTATTTTTTAATATTATTCTTAAAAAATATTCTAAAAAAGAAAATACTCTTCTGTTGGTGTGTGCTCTCATTTGCTGTATCCTGCCTGTGTTTGGTCCACATTTGGGCCATTTTTTGGTTAATTTTCCATTTTAAAATATTTTTTAATATTATTTTAATATTATTCTTAAGAAATACAAAAAATATTCTAAAAATTCGTTAATATTTACAAAATTTCTTAAATACCAAAACTTTTTTGGGGGAAAGTTTTGTAATTATTTTAAATATCGAAACAAAAAAACACCCCAATTACAAATCGATTTTAGAAACAAATTTTTTCTTGATCAAACAGGCCTACTTGGGTGTCCTCCTGGACTCAATGCTAACGCTTGAAGCTCAGGCGTCGGCAGTGGCTGGGAGGGCCTTCACACAACTAAGACTCGTGCGCCGGCTGCGACCATACCTCGTGAAGTTGGATTTCGCCAGGGTGGTCCACGCCTTAGTCACCTCCAGATTGGATTACTGTAATGCACTCTAAGTGGGGCTGCCCTTGAAGACAGCTCGGAAATTTCAATTGGTTCAACGAGCAGCAGCCAGGCTACTTACTGGGGCAACTTACAGGGAGCAGTCAACCCCCCGTTTAAGGAGCTCCATTGGCTGCCATTCATTTTCTGATCCAATTCAAGGTGCAGGTTCTGACCTACAAAGCCCTGAACGGTTTGGGACCCACCTACCTGCGTGACCGCATTTCTGTGTACGAACCCACGCGATCTCTTCGATCACCTGGAGAGGCCCTGCTCTCGCTCCCACCTCTCTCGCAGGCGTGATTGGTGGGGATGAGAGAGAGGGCCTTCTCGGTGGTTGCCCCTCGACTCTGGAACTCACTCCCCAAGGATATCAGACAAGCCCTCACATTGGCAGTCTTTAGGAGGAGCCTGAAAACGTGGCTGTTTCAGTGTGCCTTCCCTGAATAAAAGAAACAATCCCCTGCAAAATATCCTGAGAAGCACTTTAATTACCCATTGGGTTGCTCTCTACTTTTGGTTTAAAACCCTCCTACTAGATACATCCTCTGTTCATGTCCAGCATTTATTTTTAAAGTTTTAACTACTAAATCCGGCCATAGGTTTTTAAATCATTGTGTGTTTTGTTTATGTGTGAGTTATATTAATTGTATTGTTTATTTTGCTTACTGCTTGTTGTTTTTATTGATGTGTTGTTGGGCTTGGCCTCATGGAAGACTCTCCGAGTCCCTTGGGGAGATGGTGGTGGGGTATAAATAAAATTATTATTATTATTATTATTATTATTATTATTATTAGTTTTGACCTGTCATCTCTGCAATCTGTAAAGCTCATTTTGAATTCTGTTCCTGTCTTCTGGAGTATAGGTTCTCCGTCCCCATTTGGTGTCATCTGCAAACTGGATGATCCTGCCTTCTAACCCTTCATCTAAGTCAATAATAAAGATCCTGAGCAGGACTGGGCCCAGGATGCAACCTTGTTGGTGTCACTCCACTCGTCACTTCTTTCCAGGATGAAGAGAAAGCCCTGGAGAGAATCACCCTCTGGGTTCGTTCGCTTAACCAAAATAACCAAAATAAAGAATGTCGTACTTTGCTTTATTTATAAAAAAATAAACAAATATTGCTCATCCTTAGGTACGTCTGGAATCTTTGAGCCTGGCTTTGGGGGCACACAGAACAGAGACACAAAAGAATGGGATGACACACAGAAAATAAATTGAGTTGTTGTAGGTTTTTTCGGGCTATATTGCCATGGTCTAGAGAGGCATTCTCTCCTGACGTTTTGCTTGCATCTATGGCAAGCATCCTCAGAGGTAAATTGAGTTGTTGTAGGTTTTTTCAGGCTATATTGCCATGGTCTAGAGGCATTCTCTCCTGACGTTTCGCCTGCATCTATGGCAAGCATCCTCAGAGGTAAATTGGGTTGTTATAGGGTTTTTCGGGCTATATTGCCATGGTCTAGAGGCATTCTCTCCTGACGTTTCACCTGCATCTATGGCAAGCATCTTCAGAAGTAGTGAGGATGCTTGCCATAGATGCAGGTGAAACGTCAGGAGAGAATACCTCTAGACCATGGCAATATAGCCCGAAAAAACCTATAACAACCCAGTGATTCCGGCCATGAAAGCCTTTGACAATACAGAAAATAAATTGTTCTGCGAAAAATCCACATCTTCCTTGTTTTTCTATGCAGAACAATGCTGTTCCCAGTGCAGAAAATTCTGTGCAAAAATACTATGCACCAATTTCATGCAGAATAAGTTATAGCAACAGCATGTTCTGCATAGGGGAAAGGATCTCGTTTTTCCTACGCAGACATATTCGTTTCGGGACCTAAAACACTGTTTTCTTTCCAGAAAATGATGTTTTTGGTGAGGAAAAATCCATGTGCGAATATTCTGCGGAACAAGTCCTGAATTGTGAAATCTTCCAAAATGTTATATATATATAATATAGTCTATATTTCACAGTAATGATTCACAATGTTAAAAAACGCTTGCTTTCTAAAACTAATAAAGGACTGCATCCCTAAACGTGAGTTGCAGTATAACTCACATCACAATCCATGATCAGACTTTCACATCTGCAAAGATGAAAACGGCAACCAGGTTTCATAGACGCAATAAAATGTAAGAAGTATTTCAGGTTTTGCAGACTGCGTCAAAATGATCCAGGGCTACTCCTCCGGCTTCTCAACTGAGGGAAGATCGCGGTTTTCCATTTCTACCACTCTTCTTCAGAAAGGCCACTTAGCTGCTGAGCAATATTTCTTCCCTGTCCTGGAGACCTTCACATTACTGGAAAGTTTTTTGAGATCTGGGCACGTGGAGGTATGGACCAGGTTGGGTTGAGAACTCTTTGCTAAGGAACCCCGAGAGTCCCTGGTTAGAGAGGGTTGAGAGCCCTTCACCAAACTGGTTTGGGAGGTTTTCACACGGTTGCGCCGAGAAGCTTTCTTCCGTAAAGATCGGGAAAAGTTCAGTAGGCTGAATCGCGGGACTTTGCTCGCAATCGTACGTGAGCCTTTGGTGGCACGTGACAGCATGCCCTTTGATGTGTGATGTTGCGGGGCCTTGTTGACATTGAGTTGTGAGTCGGTGGGCACAAGTGGTGGTATTCTCTTGGCTGAATGCTTTGATGGGCTTTTGGGTATATAGGGTGGCGGTCCTTTGGGGAGATGGGGTTCCAAGTCCCTGGGGGAATACAGTACTGGGCCTTTGGTCATACGAGGTAGAGGGGCTTTGGGCAAGTGTGGCTCCAAATCTTTGGGAGAATATAACACTGGACCTTTGGTCACGCGAGGCAATGGAGCTCGAGGTGCATCAGGAACGGAACCCTTTGTGATGGTTCCACGGCGGTCTTTGATCACACCGTTATATGGACTTTGGAGCAAATGCCGCTGATACATGTCTACGTGTGGCTGTGTTGGGTTTCTGGCAAGATTTCTTTGTGGGAGTTTAGTTGCATGTGAGTCTGTGTGGGGGTTTAGACCCCGTGGTTGGTAACCAGCCCCTCCAGATGGACGATACGGTGGAATATAATGGCCTCTCTGATACAACGGAAGGGTCTTGGATGAAAAAAGGCCTTTCTCGTACAGTGGAAGGGTCCTGGATGAAAAATACCGTGGCCCATAGAATGGGATGTATTGGGATCCATATTTGGGTAGCCTTTTCTTGACAAAGGGAGATAGAGGAGGACCGAGTGGCTTAGAGTAATATCTATAGTATGGCATCCGTTGTCTGGAAGCACGATATCTGAAAGAAGAACCATAGTTAGTTCACTTAATCTCTTCCACAAACTTTAGAGCAGGAACCCTCAAACTACAGCCTTCCAGGTGTTCGACTCCCTGCTTGGCTATGAAAACCCACTGGGTGACCTTGGGCAGGTCATGCTCTCTCAGCTTCAATAGAACACTCCCTTTGATTATTATTCTTACGTTTGTTTATACCCTACTTTTTCTCTCCACAAGGAGACTCAAAGTGGCTCACCTTAAGGTCAACCTAGGTCAGAAATGACTTGAAGGCACACAGCAACAACAGCATGTTTTCAGTACAAAATTCATCTACCCCAAAAGAATCAATATCTGTGTAATTTTCCATAATGACCTGCTTTATTCTCATGATGGTGATGGCATGGAAGTGAGGTCTACCACCTAGAAGCAACCAATGAGAAGGACCTATCTCATATTCCAAGAAATATACCATCAAAAGGAGGAAGTCTGCGAACAGGACTCTTTGGCATGGAGGATGGAGCAACAGCACCGCCAAGTGGCCAGAATCGAGCACAACCTCCAAGACACCGAAGATGGGAAAATGTATATACCTCTATCTGTACTGTTGTCTGTCCTGTCAGTCTATATCGGCATTGAATGTTTCCCGTATATGTATTCTGTGATCCACCTTTGAGACCCCTTCAGGGTGTGCAAATGTTGTTTTTTTATATATATTCCATGTGAAGGGCAGAATATAAATGCCATAAATAAATCTATATAAATAAAAATGTAATGTTCGTTTGTGGGATTAACATAACTAAAAAACCACTGGACGAATTGACACCAAATTTAGACACAAGACACCTCTCAGGCCAACAAGTGACCATCACTCATAAAAACACTGAAAAACACAACAGAAGGGACTTAAAAAGCAACCCCCAAAAAATACATTGCAATGCATGCTCAAAACCACATATATACACACAAACACACACATATACACACATCTATGCACATGCACACACAAAACACATACACAGAAAGGGAGAAGGAAGGAAGAGAGAAGGAAGGATAGAAGGAGGGAAGGAGAGAAAGAAGGAAAGAAGGGTAGAGAAGGAAGGAGGAAGAGAAGGAGGGAGAGAAAGAGAAAGAAGAAAGAAAGAAAGAAAGAAAGAAAGAAAGAAGGAGGGAAAGAAGGAGGGAAGGAGAGAAAGGAAAGAAAGAAGGGTAGAGAAGGGAGGAAGGAGAGAAGGAGGGAGAGAAGGAGGGAAAGAAGGAGGGAAGGAGAAAAAGAAGGATAGAAGGGTAGAGAAGGAAGGAAGAGAAAGAAAGAAAGAATGGTAGAGAAGGAAGGAAGGAGAGAAAGAGGAAAGGAGAGAAAGAAAGAAGGAAAGAAGAAGGGAAAGAAGGTGGGAAGGAGAGAAAGAAGGAAAGAAAGGGTTAGAGAGGGAAGGAGACAAGGAGGGAGGAAGAAAGAAGGAAAGAAGAAGGGAAAGAAGGAGGGAAGGAGAGAAAGAAGGAAAGAAAGAAGAGTAGATAATAGGCCTGGGTAACAACGGAAAAATTTGTTTCTAAAATCGATTTGTATTTGGGGGGTTTTTTTTTTCGATATTTAAAATAATTACAAAATTTTCCTTTTAAAAAGTTCGACATTTACGAAATTTCGTAAATGGTAAAAAATTAACGAATCGATTTCCGAAACAATAACGAATCGATTCGTTAATGGCGGACGCGACCGCGAAATACGCTAAAAAACCTCCAAAACCTTCTGAAGCTTCCCTCTCCCTCTGTTGTTGACTGTTGGTGTGATATTATAATTTTTTTTCACTAATTAAACCATAAAACTGGCCCAGACATGCGGAAATAATAACGAAACGACCTCAAAACAATAACGAAACGAATACAATAATGAAATACGAAGCATATACAAAACGTTTTTGAAAATTCGGTTTTTTTAATAATTGCTCCAGAATGGTTCGTTATCGTTTTGTAATTGAAAAAATTAACGAATTATTAACGAATTACGAATTAACGAAACGAAACCGCCCAGCCCTAGTAGATAAGGAAGGAAGGAGAGAAGGAGGGAGAGGAGGGAGAGAAAGAGGGAAAAAAGGAGGGAAGGAGAGAAGGAAAGAAAGAAAGAAAGGTAGAGAAGGAAGGAGAGAATGAAATAAGTAAAAGAGGGAAGGAAGGAGAGAAGGAATGAAAGAGAGAAAGAGGGAGGGAAGGAAGGAAGGAGACAAGGAAGGATGGAACCAAAGAGCAAAGGAAGCGAGGAAGAAACAGGTAGAGAAGGAAGAAAGAAGAGGGGAAGGAAAAAGAGGGAAGGGGGGAAAGAGGGAGGGAAGGAAGGAAGGAAGGAAGGAAGGAAGGAGAGAAAGAAGGAGAGCAAGAAGGAGGGAAGGTTGGCCAGAGCAACGCATGGCAGGTACAACTAGTAAGTAAATAAACAAATAAATTGTATCAGGACCAATTGACATACCACATCCATAAATTTATTGGGGTGATTCCAGTTAAGCTTCATGACCACCATGACTTCCTAGAGCTAAAAATGTTTCTTCATTGGGACTATAATTCAAGGAATCCCAACCAGCATGTAGAGCAAATAACCAGATTTCAGCCTTACATATCAGTCCCATAGAACTCAAAACTCTCCCAGCGTACCTGCTGAACCACTTACCGGTCATAGGAAGTCAAAGGAGGATCAGGAATACCTTCATCCATCGTGACAACAGCTGAGAAAGCAGAAAAGTAGGAAGTGCTGGAAAGAAGTCACTTGAGCAGCCTCAAATGAAAACCAAAACAACGTTGCATCAAATATTATGTTCTAGCTCAACAGTCATAACAACTTTGAACAAAGACCCTAAAACTGACCAGTGTTGTGTAATAATATACAACCTTGGTCAATTTTAGATAAATAGATATGACTTGAAGGCATATGTAATGACTCTTACCTAATAGGCCAGAGTAGAAGCTTGGAAAGTCAGTAGGACAACCTCCATTTTGAGAGGGTCTGCCAGTAAAGCAGCCATCTTGAGAGTGGATAGTTAGAAGATGGGAGGAGTTGGAGATCTCCTGGGATTGGCTAGAGAGAGGGGGAGGAGCCAAGTCTTGGGAGGGAAAAGTTTTCAGCTTCTGAGAGAAGGGAGTTGAAATTTGGGAATTGAAGGGAGCAGAAGTGGTTTTGAAACTGGGTATTTCTGAGAGAGAGTGTGTGTATGTCAGGGAGGGCTGATTAGCTGACAGGAAGGGTAAGAACAGCTACCTGATTTCTTGTGTGAGACAGCACAAGGGCTCTGCTCTCTGGATTGAGTAAGTTAGCTGAAAAGGACTCTGGGGAGAGTTAGCTAATTACTCTAAGACAGCCTGGGTTAGGTTAGCCAGGAACTCATTGCTATTTCACTGAAGTAGTGTGAGGGATTTTGTTTGTAACCAAGTCAAGAAACTCTTTTTAAGCAACCATTGTGGGGTTGGCCGAGGGGTTGATTTTGTCAATTGGGAGTTGTAGTTGCTGGGATGTATAGTTCACCTAAAATCAAAGAGCATTCTGAACTCCACCAATGATGGAATTTAACCAAACTTGGCACACAGAAGTCCTACGACCAACAGAAAAAACTGGGAGGGTTTGGTGGGCCCTGAACTTGAGTTTGGGAGTTGTAGTTCACCTAGATCCAGAGAGCACTGTGGACTCAAACAATGATGGATCTGGACCTGACTTGGCACAAATACTCAATATGCCCAAATGTGGTGTTTGGGGAAAATAGATCTTGACATTTGGGAGTAGTAGTTGCTGGGATTTATAGTTCACCTACTATCAAAGAGAATTCTGAACCACATCAATGATAGAATTGGGACAAACCTCCCACACAGAACCCCCATGACCAACAGAAAATACTATGTTTTCTGATGGTCTTTGGTGACCCCTCTGACACCCCCTCATGACCCCTACAGGGGTCCCAACCCCCAGGTTGTGAAACACTGCTTTACAGCATACAACAAAATGTTGTTTAATAATATACAACTATACTCAATGGGGTTATACTCTCCTCGAAGACACAGGTTCGCAGCTTGGGAGTGATCCTGGACTCATCGTTGATCCTGGAACCACAGGTCTCAGCAGTGGCCAGGGAAGCTTTTACACAACTAAAACTTGTACACCAGTTGCACCCGTACCTTGGGAAGCTAGACTTGGCCAAGGTGCTCCATGCTCTGGTTACATCCCGAATAGACTACTGCAACACTCTCTATGTGGAGTTGCCTTTGAAGACTGTTCAGAAGCTTCAAGAAGTCCAACGGGCAACAGCCAGGTTGCTCACCAGAGTAGTGTAAAGAAAGAAGACATCCCTCCCATTGCGCCAGCTCCATTGGCTCCCAGTCTACTACTGAGCACAATTCAAAGTGCTGGCTTTAGCCTATAAAGCCTTAAACCTGTACAACTGTACTGAATGGGGCTACACTCTCCCCGAAGACACAGGTTCGGAGTGTGGGAATGATCCTGGACTCATCACTGAACCTGGAACCACAGGTCTCAGCAGTGGCCAGATTCTCTACCTGTGGATCCCCAGGTGTTTTGGCCTACCACTCCCAAAAATCCCAGCCAATTTACCAGTTGTTAGGATTTCTGGAAGCTGAAGGCCAAACCACCTGGAGACCCACTGCCCTAAAAGTTTTCAGCCCGGTTTACCTGTCCAACCGTATCTCCCTCTATGAGCCAGCAAAGAGATTAAGATCTTCTGGGAAAGTCCTGCTCTCGATTCCACCTCCTTCGTAGGCACAGTTAGTGGGGACAAGAGACAGGGTCTTCTCAGTAGTGGCCCCTCGACTATGGAACTCCTTCCCAAGTGAAATCAGATCAACCCCTCCCTCCTGAGTTTTAGGAAAAGGTTTAAAAACATGGATGTTCAACCAAACATTCAATGAGTAATCAATCAGCGAAATAGGAAAAGATGGAATAGTGCAACAACAACCTGGAACATCCACGGACTACAATATTGGGTTGAGTGATTTTAAATAATTAGTTTTAAGGTTTTATTATGTTTTAATTATTGTTTTTATTATGTGTTTTTTTTTCTTTTTGGCATCTAATTGTAGCCTTTATATGTAAGTTGCTTTGAGTCCCCTACGGGGTTGAGAAGGGTGGGTTATAAATACAGTAAATACATAAATAAACGAATCTTTTTCATAAATTCTAATAATATAATATATTGTATGGTATATACATATAATATTTATAATATTATAATGTAGTGCAATATAATAATAATATGATATTATAATTATATTTTTATATTAAACGTAATATTACTAATAATATTACGATATAGTGGTATGGTGCAATATAACAATGTTTTATATTGTTTAATGTTTTAATCTGTATTATGTTTTTATATGTACTGATTTGTTGGAAACAGCCTTGACTCACCGATTGGCTGAGAAAGGCGGTATACAAATACAGTAAATAAATAGATACTAGGGCTGGGCGGTTTCGTTTCATTAATTCATAATTTGTTAATAATTCGTTAATTTTTTCAATTACAAAACGATAACGAACCATTCTGGAGCAATTATTAAAAAAACCGAATTTTCAAAAACGTTTTGTAAATGCTTCGTATTTCGATATTGTATTCGTTTCGTTATTGTTTTGAGGTCGTTTCGTTATTATTTCCGCATGTCTGGGCCAGTTTTATGGTTTAATTAGTGAAAAAAAATTATATCACACCAACAGTCAACAACAGAGGGAGAGGGAAGCTTCAGAAGGTTTTGGAGGTTTTTTAGCGTATTTCGCGGTCGCGTCCGCCATTAACGAATCGATTCGTTATTGTTTCGGAAATCGATTCGTTAATTTTTTACCATTTACGAAATTTCGTAAATATCGAACTTTTTAAAAGGAAAAATTTTGTAATTATTTTAAATATCGAAACAAAAAAAAAACCCCAATTACAAATCGATTTTAGAAACAAATTTTTCCGTTGTTACCCAGGCCTAATAGATACATAAATGAATTTAATGCTGATATTGTACTATGCTAATAATATAATATATTGTATGTAATATATACCTTGTAAGCCGCTCTGAGTCCCCTTCGGGGTGAGAAGGGCGGCATAGAAATGACGTAAATAAATAAATAAATAAATTGGTACTCGTACATGTCTGAGAACGCCAACAAATCGAATCCTGGATCCTTTGGTATAGCTGGCCTTGTGACCCCAAAAAGTAGGTTCAAATTACAAGAAAAGAGATTAAAGACAGTGCAATCAGCATCAGTTGACACTATTGAAAGGAATAATGCTAGAACACTGCAAAATTGTGCAGTGTTCCAGCAGGAATGTATTATTCTTCTATTTTAAAGATACCCGTCATTTGGAATAACCACACAAAACAATGTGCATCCTCTATGCAGAGGCGGCCCTAGGTAATTTTCAAAGGTAAGCAAACAGTATTTTGGTGCCCCCCCCCCCAACCAATCATTGATATATATTTTCTGTTCGTCATGGGAGTTCTGTGTGCCATATTTGGTTCAATTCCATCATTGGTGGAGTTCAGAATGCTCTTTGATTGTAGGTGAACTATACATCCCAGTAACTACACTTGCTGTACTTGCTCCCTTGCCTGGCCCACTTTGGGTCCGGAGGCGTGCCTGAAGACCCCGGCGTGTGCACCAAAAGTCACCTCTTCTCCTGACTTTCTCCTCAGCCATTGGGACCAAGAGAGAGAGAGAGAGAGAGAGGTGGAGATGCCCACCTTTCCTGAAGGTAGGCGCAAAAACAAAGGAGGGAGCGGAGGTGGGAGATACCTCCAGCCGGAGGGGCTCTCTCTCTCTCTCTCTCTCTCTCTCTCTCTCGGTCCCAATGGCTGAAGAGAAAGTCAGGAGAAGAGGCGACTTTTGGTGCACACGCTGGGGTCTTCAGACACGCCTCCGGACCCAAAGTGGGCCAGACATGGCAGCTCCGCCTCTTGGTCCACCCTCGGATTGGGGAGAGGAGAAGAGGCGGGTGGAGCGCCGGGGGATCGGGAAAGGGAGCCATTCATGGGGAAGAGATCGAATGCGGAGAACGATTGAGCGCCGGCTCTGCTTGCGCACCCGGTGGCCTGGTGGAGCAGGAACAAGAGGGGCTAGGCGAGGCTCAAGGGCCCGGCCCCTTTGGGAAGAGGATCGCCTGGCAGCGAGGCAAGAAAGCCGAGGCTCCCCCGGACTGCTAGGGCTGTTGTGAGCTGAGGGGGCGCTCCTCAAGTGGCAGTCGAGGGGCATTTACAGAGGCGCCTCTGTGCCCCTGGCAAAAAAAAGGGTTTTGCGACAGCTTACTTCGCGTAATGGATGAGCTGCCCCTGCCTCTATGTTAGAGTTGTGCATGGAATTTGTTCCTACCGTTCCTACTCTTTCTTTCGTGTCTTCTGTTTCTTTGGGAGCACGGAACAGGAAACTCCCTCCCCACACGAAAATCTTCTCGACACGAAAGTCTGCTTTCGTCTGCAGCCAAAATTGCCTCCTTACCTTGGAAAGAGAGTGTGTGTGTAGTGGGGTGTGTAGATAGGCCTGGAGCATGCCTGCAGCCGAGAGCCTCTTACTCTAGAGCAAGAGGCACTTGGCTGCAGGCACTGGCAAGTGCGCACACTTTTTGTTCCTACCTACACCCAACCACACACACACATTCTTTCCATGCCCCATGAAACCATACCATTGAGCCATGGTAGCTCAAGTGGTGTCAAACTGCATTAATTCTGCACTGTAGATGCACCCTATGGCTAGATTTCTGGACCAGGAAAACAAAAACATCCCCAAGAAACCTTATAATTTCTCTGCAGCTTCTCAGATACAT